AGAAATATGTAAGGGTGATCTGATGCTTAGTGCAGAGCCATCTGGGAAGACGATACGGTTCTCTGAAAAAGGGACTTTGAGATTATCAGGCTTAGCCACAACCAAGGGCGCCCATGGAGCATATTTAAACTTGAGGTTTGTGCTCCCTATTCCAATCTTCTCCATCTCTCTCTATCACACATCTTTCAAGACTCTTATAGATAAAATTATGCTAAGATGAAGTAGTAAAGGGGCCATCCGCGAGGCTGTGGGCTTTTTGTCCAACGTTATAGACCAAGTTGAATCGATCGACTTCGAGATGCCTTCAGAAATAGCAGCTCACATGGCCAATCCGGAGGTCTTGGCAGTCGTCGACAGGGTAATGGGTAAGGATACGTCAACTATCATTGCCCGTCCAACTGTCAACATAGGTACGATCGGAGGCGGGCTGAAGGTCAATATGATCCCGGATACTTGCCGCTTTGAACTTGACATCCGCCTACCTATTGGGCTAGTTGCAGCGGATGTAATGGCAGTGATCGATTCTATCATTCGCCAGCATGAAAATGCCACGATTGAGATCAAGGTACAAGAAGCCGCAAGTAATCCACCTAGTTACTCGCATTTGAGTCATCCAATGGTTCAACTTCTAGCCAAGAATGCAGACTCTTTAGAACCTGAGGAGCGTACCACAGCCATTCCGTCTATGGGGGCTACCGATTGCAAGCACTATCGATACGCCGGCATACCTGCTTTTGTATACGGTTGCAGCCCGTTCAGTAGTAAGTCTCATCCAAGCTGTTACAACAACCAACCCCTCAACACCTGTTCCATTTTTTCGAATACTTAGAGGCTAACATGAGAAAGTGGCTACGGTAAACGAATCAGCTTCCATCAGAGAGTTTCATCATGTGACAAAGGTTCATGCAACAGCAGTCTGGGACTTCCTGCAGTAAGAAATTGAGGCTTTCAAATGGTAGATTGTGGAAGAAGCATACCAGGAATACACTGACGCTGCAGACTGCAACACGAAATCCAAAGAAGGGACGAAGAAATGGCAGATATAGTCAAGTTAGCCTCAATACAAGCTCTTGAGTCCCACTCTGAATATGATCAACAGCTGAATACAGTAAATTTCTTCACTTAAGGGTAACTAGCTTGGTCAATCTTAATACAAAAGCTTAAATATAATTGAGACTCAACAGAAGTCTAGAGGGAAAATCCATCCAATGAGTAGGTTAATGAAGGCGTTGAGCTAGAGAACCTATACCGCGCCCAGAATCCGCAGCTGATTGTGATTAGAGAAGCCGGTTTAGAGAGAAGTCAAAACATGAAGATCCTTCCTTTGCTTCTCCCTTTATAAAATCCTTCAGAATCTCTTCCATAATTTCCAACCAGTCGAAGAAACCCTAGCGCAGACATAGCAAGACAGTGCCATCACATACGCAATGGCCGAGAAGAGAATAAGCCCCGTCCAACCCGTACTCCCGCCCAAGCCAAGCATCGCCCCTCCGATTGGGACACTCGTCAGCGTGCCAAAACTAGCAATCATGTTTGCTACTGTGATGTACCGTCCATAATTATGACAGTCGCAAAACTGTCCAATACACACGGGTATTAGGCCCAGATTACTCCCACTTGCGAACCCAAATAGTGTACAGAACGCGAAAAGCAAAGACTTGGAGTTTCCAGCCGGAAGCCAGATACCCAAAAGGGTGATAACACACAGTGAAAGGGTACCGATGATAACGTTGAATCGGCCGACATAATCAGCCAGGAGTCCTGGGAGAAAACGTCCCAGAACAGAACCAGCATTAAGAGATGCAAGCAAGATGGAGCTCTCTATGCCTCCGTTTCCATGGCTCTGGGCATAGGAGATGATGTAGGTCAGAGGCACGAACAGGCCCCATTCTGTAAAGAAGACTCCGATAGCTGCACAGGCAAATCCTCGGTGGCGAAGGATGCTGAAATCCGGCCAGACGGAACATTTCTTTGGCCTGCGTTCAGAAGTGAGACGGTTTCGGATGAAAAGGTTTGCGATGACGCAGAGAAACAGGATCACAAAGCCAAGGATGCGACAGCTCCAGGCGAAGCCAACTCCGTCCTTTCCCAAGAGGGGTTGGAGCATCAGGGGAAATACAATGCCCCCAATTCCTCCAGCGGTCGTCGCAATACCAGTTGCAAGGCCTCGTTTGGCGTTGAAGAAATGGGCTATTGCACCGTACGCCGGGCAGTAGAGCAATGCTCCGCCCAGGCCGCCCATAACAGAATAGGTCATGATAATCTGATAGTATTCTGTTTGCTCAAGAGTCAGCCCGAGTTCCGAAGTAGAAGTCAAACTTGAAGTGATTCCAACCTGTCGAGATGCTCAGGAACATCAAGCTTGCCACCATTAGCAAGCTCCCTGTGAGCACAAGGAGGCGTGGTCCGTAAGCGTCGAAGATGGGTCCGACCTGGATCCCAATGAAGAACACCAGAAAGAGGTATAGGCTAAATATCCACCCGATCTGGGATTCGCTATATTCACTAAGCTGATGCTTCTTGAGATGTGACTCGAAAACGGCACTTGTGTTGATAATGCCAAAGACGGCGCCTAGGGCACAGAAAGCGCCGAAAACCACTAGCCATGCTTGCAGGCCACCTTCGGGGTAGGTTTGCTGATCAGAGTCAAAGGATGGAGAAGAGAGGGGAGACTCGTTGGACTCTTTAGGAGAACCCTCGTCGAGTTTACCTTTCGTCCCAAGCTGGATGAGGATGTTCTGGTGGTTGTTTGGGCAGGTTTCAGCTGCAAGGTCATGAATAGGCTCCATCGCCGAGCCCTATCCGAGAATATCACGGAGATATTAATTCATACAATCTAGCTTCCTATCCGATTGGCATTAAGAATGTGAATAAGGTACATTGTATAAGAGAGGATTCTCGGAGGGGAGGGAATGAAGCGGCGCAAACTAGGAATATTTTGGCGAGCTTATATAATTGGATGTGAATCACTGATTAAGACCTCCTACAATCATGTAACAGTAACGTGGTCGAAACACCGATTTTTGAGACGTGACAGGAGGACAGGTCTAAGACCTCGAGCGTGTTTGCTCAGGGTCTCAGTCTTGTGGACAGTCATCTCAATATTCGACGAAAAGTGAATGATGCTTGATTGTCACTTCGGAAGAGCTTCTGTTACATGAACACAGATGTAGTGAAGAAATGAGCTAACAGATATTTCGGTACTCTAACATCGAACAATGAATATGAGTTCACCTACAACAATGACAATTTTAACTATGGCTTCAGGTAACCAAAACTTCCATTCTACTGTCCCTTCCAGAGTCCCTGAAGAATTTCCTCCGTCTTGGCGAATTCATAGTCGGGAAAGATTTTGTTCCATTCGTCTGAAACATCCCAAACGCCACGGCTGATGGCTCTCAGGACTCCAATCGCTGCCACCTTGGAAAATGCGTCGATCTGGTCTGGAGGAGTTGAAGGGAGGTCCAGACGGGTGTAGTTTTCCGTCTTCAGCAAACCAGCATCGAGATCTTCTGACTTCAGCCATTCCTTAGTAAATGGCGTGCCTGTGGACATGGAGTCAGTGTTCTATCAGGGAGAGGCAATGATCAGTCTAGCAAGAATGGATGAGAACTCACCTCGAACCTTCTCACCAATCTCTACAAGCTCTTGTAGAGTGTGTCGGTTCCCTTGAATGCCACCAACCTTGGGCCATTCACCTTCATACTCCACAGCACGGGCCACCACATTCGCAATATCCTTTGTGGTCGTAAAGGTCATGTGGGCATCCAGAGAGCCCTCTTCAAGCAGTGCGTGCCGCTTCTCGATGTTAATGGTGAGGGGTATGGTGGTGATATGCTTGGAGATACTGTGAGGGTGCGCAAGATAGTTCAAGAATCCTCCCGGCTGGAACCTGCAGAATTCAATCACCTTGTCACTGTCAGTATTTACACGGTGGCCATGTTCACGAAACGTTGCAAGGCTAGACACCTACCTTCTTATCCTTGTTGATGGATTCCAGGTAGTTCTTGACTTCGAGCTTTCCAGCGTACCAAGACAGGGTATCAGGGAAGCTCTCCAGTTTCACTCCACTGTTCCAAGTTAGCAGATAGTCCACGAAGCAGATGTACAGAGGTCATGCATTCCCTTACCTAGACCACTCCGATGGTGCAAAGCGGCTCACCCCAGCCTTGATAGAAGCATCGATGAGTCTTTTCTGTGACTCGTTTCCTGGATCCAAGTGGACAGCAATGAAGCTCAAAACTGTGTGGACGCCGCTGAGAATTTTAACCAGCTCAGCCTCGTCCTTGAAGTCTGTTTGGACCCAGGTGACTCCCGGAAACTGTGGAAGACTGCTGGGATCCTGTCGTTTTCCAGTCAACTTTCATGCTTCTGCTTGCCAGGGTCAGTCAGATTTACCTTGCGAACCAGCCCGATGATCTCGTGCTTTCCTGTAGCCACGAGCGAGTCGAGGATTTCCTTGGAGAGCTCTAGAGTGAAGCAAGGTTAGAGATACATCCAATAGCTTTCGAATAACTCAGATAAAACTCACGGCTTGTCGCCGGAGCAAGAGCGATTTTAACCATCTTTGCGGTAGTGGTTGATGTAGGCGTTGTTTATCAATGTTATCAAGTCTAAGCTGAATTGTTCAGGGTGATTGATGGATGGCAGACCATAGTTGATATTGAATATCCTTTTTATACAATCAATATTTCTATCAGTTATAAATCAACATCTCGCTTTGTAATCTGCAATTAGAAAGCCAAAAGTCCAGTTCAACTCGAGTTGCTCACATCACGTAACTGGGTGCAGCTCTTCGTGGGTTGGCTCGAGTCCGGCGGTTACGTGACTGCCGGCCGAATAATGGCCCCGACCGTCCCACTAAAACCTCCAGCATTCGCTCACTCGCCCGGGGCAATCGCCTGCTCACTCTTCCTTTCTCATCAGCTAACATCACGTAACATCACATACCATCACCTCGATTGCCATTTCAGGGATTGATACTGTCGCAGGGGCGCAAAATGGGAAGCGCAGAGGCTGAACTTGAGGTACCGATCCCACTCCCCCCGTTTGCTCCATCCCACTGACCCGGTTCACCTCCAGCGCCGCCGAGAACGTGGTCGGCGAGCGCAAGCCGCATTCCGCCAACGCAAAGCCAAGCTATCCAGTGATTTAGAGGAGCGGAATCTCCAGCTGATACAGGGCATTGAGAGGCTGGTCAGCGTCGCCACGGGCGAAGAGCGCCCCGAAGTTCTCGCCGCGATCAATTACCTTGCTGACGCCGCCGGACTCGACACCAAAGTGCCCCCTCGGCACCAGCAACAGACCCCAACAGACTCAGAGAAGGACGGATCGAGCCAGTCAGGCATCCTTAAAGAGGATGTCGTTTTTGACCTCGCGACCAGGGGCACGGTACAGAACCGGTACCAGGAGATCGCCCCGTCCACTCCCAGCCGTCTGGACTGCGGCATGTGGGTTGATCCCACCCACTACATGAGAGTATCCCTCCCCCCAGACGACATCATACCCTACATTGGCTCCGGCGCGGACACATTTGCCGGCCGCCTCTTTTGGTCGGTCATGGAACACAGCCAGAGCGGGTGCACCGGACGCCACGTCCACCCGCGGCTGTCGGATCTCATGTCGAAGGCGGTGGACCACTGCAAGGTCACGCAGGAAGTCAACCTAAGCTTCGTCAAGGCCATGGCGCAGGCGAGGCTCGAGTTCAAGAACACGGGGTCCATCAGCCCGAGAAATGCAGCCGCGGGCGAACCCGACCTGGGTATGGTCATTTGCGAGCGGATAAAAAGGGACTACTTGGAGAGAGGCAAGAATCCAGACGTTTGGCTGCCCAGTGTGGCCATTGAAGCGCATTTGAGACGAAGAATCGACGACCCTGCCGCGTTCCGGCTTCTGGAAGTGGCTGCGAGGGGAGAGGGTGATCCTACCCTACGTGCCTTGCTCGAGAACATTCAATGCAGGCTCTTTGATAACACGATATGCTTTGGCGATGGGCCAAGGTGGCATGTCGATGTGGTGGATTGTTTGTTTCTTGAATGGATGGAGAGGACATCAAGTTCAAGGTTTTGAAGTACGATGTCAAACAATAAAAATGAAAATGTATGTATATCATTCCTTTTGATAGCCCGTTTCTATAGTGTCCAAAATCTATACACCACGATCACCCGTACTCGATCAGGTGGTTTTCCCATTTTAACTTTTAATTTTTCCGCTTAATCAAGAAGTCCCTCAGAACAAAAACAACACAAATCGCCATTCCCGAGGCAGCAAGCCCAACACCCATCCAGAGGCCTCCCCGGTATCCTCTCAGCTTTTCTTCCGGCGTCGAGGCCGTGCCGTGGACATGAACCTCGACGGTACCGGCGAATCCCACACCCAGCGCGATGCCGTAGTTGACGACCGTGTTGACCAGACTCGCGCCAACACCTTGGTGGTGTTTTGCGACAATGTTGGATAGGATCAGCGTGGCCGCGGGGAAACTCATATCCATGCCAAACGGCATCACCAGGATCGCAAAGAAGATCTGGCCCCAGTATATCTGATCAGTGGGCGCCGTGACGGTGAGGATAACGCCAACTGTGAATGCTGTGAGTGCCATAGTCATAACCACTGACGGCCGGACCTGCCAGGGTCCAAGCAATTTGCCCGTCACAACTGCAGCGAGGGCGCCGACAATGGTGACGGGGGACATCCACCCGACAGTCAGAAGCGGCGAGAGACCGCGAATATCCTGGAGAATCTGGACAAGGTACAGCGTCCAGATGCCAAAGGTGGCCCAGCCACAGACCAGAGCGGCCAGCACAAACGCCGTGTCAACAGTGACGGCATCGAATGGAAGCAGCGGCTGAGGACTCAGTCGGAACTCGATGTAACCGAAAACCACGAAAAGCACAAGACCAAGGATGAGGGGTACAAGCGCGGTGGGTGTGACCCAGCCGCTGATTGGTGCCTGGGTCCACGCGAAGTTGAAGAGAATAAGCGCGGCGACTCCAACGACAGCCCCCGGCAGGTCCAGCGAGACCACCCAGTCCTTCCACCCGGTGGGGAGCGAGTGCTTGCGCGGAATCTCAGGAATCGCGAAATGGCCGAGAACCACGAGGACCAAGAGCCAGATGGCCAGAACCCACTGGGCCCAGGGCCACCAGACGAGGTTCAGCAGAGACCCGAACAAGCCTCCAAAGATACCTCCGATGGGGGCGACGGCGCCGAAGAAGGCGAAGACCATGGCCTTCCGGTGGCCGGGCGGGTAGGATGCACCGAAGATGGCAACACCATTGGGCAGGGTGATGGCGGGCCCGATTCCCTGGAAAACGCGGGCGATTACGGCCAGTTTGTAGTTCGAGTATACGCTCAGGCCGGCTACCATCGACCAGATGGAGAACCAGCCAAATCCAATGAGGAGCATTCGCTTGTAACCAAAGACGTCTCCGAGCCGGCCAGAGAACAGGATGAAGGTTCCAATGGTGAGGGAGAAGCCAGCTACCAACCACGCGAGGCTGGGGGGGTCCTCGACCCCAAAGCTGCTGCCGATTTCGCGGAGCAAAACTAATGTTCCCAGAAATGCGGACTCTGAACCCGGGGCAAGTGGTACCAAGGTCAGACAAGATTCGATATTCGCAATGAGGGTCCAGGGTTTCACTTACGGGTTGTGAATTGGGCCATACAGACTACAAAGACCATGGCCGCCTCTCGCATGAGAGGGAGCCCTTCTGCCACCCAGACAGATTCGACGTGGGAGATCTCCTGCCCGAGCACATGGTGGCCCTCCAAGTCAGGGGAGTCCTGGCTGGACTCTGTGCCACTTGGAAGTGAATCAACCGGTCTCTTTTCGTCCTCCATAGCGTGATGTGTGGATATTGGGCAACTCGTATGCTGTGGATGGAGATGCGAGATTAGGAGAACAGGAAGGCTGTCCGTCTACAGTCTCGGAGGTGGATATACGGATCGTTTTGAAGGGCGAGTCGTAGATCCGATCTGCCGTGCACTCCCGGGCCGCATCTGCTTTGGCGTGCTGGGGCAGGCATGTTTACAGCAGGTGGCCAGGAAATTAGGCCCATCCCACTCGTCCCCGAAACGGCTCCTGACTAATTAAAAGGGGAAGGAAGTCTCTTCTGCCACTGGATTACAGAGCGGAAGAGGTGAAACGAAACAGATGCGTGCTCCAGCATGCTGCCGCTTATCTGAATCGCTGTGCATGGCGCCAAACCGCATGTGCTGTGCCTGCTGTAGGGGTTGCAGACCCTGGAAACGCGGAAATAGGGGACTTCGCCGAATTCGAGCACTCATTGCATCATCACTCTGCCACTTGCTCCTTCCGCTTGCTCCGCCTGCTAATCACTAACAAAGAGGGATGCTGTTGCTGCGCTGCTACTGTAACGGCAGTTGTCTTGTGACACGCACGTTGTGTGAGACAACTGGACTGATTCATCATTATCGTCAAAATCCCACCCTCTACCGAAGGCTTGCTAATGCTGGATTACGTGACCCTCGCGGCTCGCCATGTGTTCGCGGCTCTAGTTCAGCACCCTCGCGGCTCGCTCTTTTTGGGCAATTCTTCGCGTGGAGGAAATCCCCGCCGATACTTGCCTCCCGTAGCTAAGTAGAGACTGCGGACAGCCCTATGAGCGGTGTACTGTCATCCAACTTTGTGTGTGTGTGCTTTCGCATTGGAATGCGCGTTGTTTTAAACCCCCAAGCCACTAAACTTTGTGCATGCCACACACTCAAACACTGCAGAGCTCATACGAGCCCTCAACAAAAAAGGAAAGAGATGAACCTAGTCTGTTCACCGATTATAATCGCCAACAAAAGTAGCAAAAGAAAATGAACTCCGGTACTGGGAATCGAACCCAGGGCTGCTCGGTGAGAGCGAGCGATGTTAGCCACTACACCATACCGGACTGTGATGGAGGCTTCCTTGGCTTCCATTATGATCGATCTCCAGACTGGCGGGTGGCGTTGGTCATGCCACGAGCAGCGGTAAGTTAGCGCACGGGTAGCGCACCAACCAGCATGAGGTAGCCAATCAGCACGACAAACTGCGGCACCCAGCACTAAAAATACTGGGGCGGCCTGCCTCCGTGATGCAACGATGCTGAGCTTCACGATTACTCTCCGTCTCTGGACGGTGCAGCAACACCTTGCCGCCTGCTGGGCTTACGCAGCCGGCTGGCCATATATCATCTCTCGCCCATTGCCGTTTCATGTTAGCATTACTCTCTTTCAATTGAAACGTTTATTCCCAGACCATCTCGTGTTTCGATCGCTGGCCGATCGACCTAACCTTCGTTGCTTATTCTTTTGACTGCCATTTCCTATTCTCAAACATATACACCAGACTGATTTCCCCTCTACTTACTACTACTTAATTAGGCAAAGCATTAGCCGTAAAAATGCTGTCCGACATTGGTACGAGGCTCGCCACCAAGGTCACCACCAAGATCGCCCTGAAGAAAGCTGGTCTCTCCTCAAACAGCCTCGACTTCCTCGAGAAGAACAGCAACAACAACAAGTCCATCCTCAACTTCGAGACCAAGCGCTCACGCCGGAAGCAGCTCGAGTTCTTCGACGAGAAGAAGCTATACAAGAAGGACAGGTTCGACTTCTCCCAGCAGAAGCTGAAGCTCTTCAACAAGCGCGAGACGAACGAAGATGAGTTCAACCGGAGGGAAAAGGCCGACGAGCGGTACCTGGTCCGAGACAAGGACGGCCGCCTGAGGCAGGACTTCTCGGAGAAGAGGCGCCGGCAGCAGGAGAACCAGGCGATGCGGGAGCAGCAGAAGAAGCAGCAGGAGGAAGAGGAGGAGAAGGCCAAGATGAAGAAGAAGCGAGGAAAGAAGACGCACCACTGGCTGGACGTGCCCCTGACCATGCAGCCATGGCTCACCGCGCCAGCTTCCTACCAGATTCGCCCGCTGCCGACCATCGGGGAACCGGCACCAAAGGATCCCATGCGGAAATTGAGACTCGGTGGCGGGAGGAAGACTCTTGTTGTGTTTCTACGCTGTGTTGGCTGTGCCTGTAGGTGCCCCCTTCCCTTCCTCGCATGAGGAATCATACCAAAAGAACGAGAATAAACTAACAAAACGATGCCTAGTCGCGAGGAAAACTTTCCAAAACCTTCGAGAACTCGCAAATAGAAGCGTCGGCACGATCCGCTGCGTGGCCGTCTCTCATTCCTCCAGAGAGGCAACTGAGAGGTGGATAGACCTGATGGGAGGCCGATGGCTGGTCGACATTGTCATTGATGAGGATCGAGCTCTCTATTCCGCCTGGGGACTTGGCCTCGGAGACTACATGTACATGTTCCACCCTGCCGCCCAGGTGCAGAGCTGGAAACACAAGGGCTGGTTGGGAAGCAAGGTGGCCTCTACCATGTACAAGAGAGCCGCCGATTCCCGCTACGACGATGAGAGCGACGAGGTCCTGGTCATGGGAAGCAAGTGGCAAGAGGCGGGAGTCTTCGCCGTAGACGGCACGGGGAAGGTCATCTGGGGTGTCAAAGCACAGCGGTCCGACGACACCATGGATTTGGAGATGGGGGCGCGTCTGCTGTGCGCCTAGTTTGTCGGATTGGCATTCATTTTATTTTCTTTGTTCTTGAGCGATACATGTACACTTAATTAATTACGAGATCAGCAGCCACTGGCTGGTATGCTGCAGCTGGGCTGGGTCTAATGAATATTACAAACGTTACGATTCAATAGAGATGCTATATCATGACATGCTCGAGAGCCCTCACCGTGCTGCAACTCGCAACACCACAACATCCATAAAGCAGAGCTCCCAAGAATTACAAGGTCCAGTATATGGTAAAGCCACCACCAAGACCAAGCATCCAGTTCTTCGAGCGCGGTATCCTTCCAATGCCACCCATGCTTTGAGCACGTGCGCCAGTGTCTGTGCATGGTACCAAAGTCCTGAGCACGAAGGCTTGGCACGGAGGAAGCATGACATATTCCACCAATTTGACCAATCTAGTAACGTTCTTTTGGGCGTAGTGAACTGACTGGTGGCGAACGGTGAGTCCCGTTCTGGAAGCGAATGTCTGAAAATAACATCCCAGGTCCTCATCGGCCAACTCAATCGTGTCACGAAACAGTCAATCGCGGGTTACACTTTTCGTTCCCTCGTGAGCTTGACTGCTCTTGGCAATGAACGTGAAACCAAGAGAGCCTGCAGAATCCGACCCTTCCAGTCGCGTGGTGCATTCCAACACGGACTTCTTCAACGTAGAATCAGGTTAGAGAACGCTGTTATGCATGGAGTCGTCGGAAGGCGCGCACGCGACGAAACCTTGGACAGACCGCGAACAACGATGGCATCTCTGCTGTAGCTGCTGCCATCAACGCGTTCGAAGCACAAATGGGGCTGTACCCTTGAGCGGCACGCTGCTCTCCACAGCGCGTAGAGCATCCTGTTCCCTGGCAAGGGGCCTGGTAGCACCAACAGGGCATCTCGCCTTTTCTGCACGGGCCTGTACTGGCTCTGTGAGGCTTGAGTGTCAGGTCAACGACAGAGGCTCTTGAGGTTACAAGCTCGTACCCGGAGTGGACAAGCCAGGAGATCATCCCTCTCTCCTATCTCCAGGTCTCGGGTGGATGATGGCATTAGAGACCAATGGAGTCATCAGCCACCATGAACATGGAAAAATTGCGGGTGCATTATGGAAAGACAATTCTCAACAATTTCAACATGAGAAGGGCGATGTTCTTGAGAAAATGCCAGTGAATTGTCTCTCATCCATTCTCTTCCCTTGCCTGTTCAGCACCAGCCGAGACATGCTACTGAAAAGACACTGGTCTAACTTACTCACCGAGGACTCTTCTCAATGCCATCCAAACTTCCATAATATCTCCCGCTAGTGAAGACGCCTTAGCTGCTTAAAACCCGGCAGCGTCGGGTAAAGTCTAAAATCAAGACTAGAAAAGCGAACGGTGTTTATACCAATCCGACGGGATGATGGCCGCTCTCCATATGCATATGATCGGGTTCCCGTTCTAAGAATCACCCAAAGCGCAATGTTTTGCCCAAACGGACGGATCTTAGGAGGGAGATCAGCTATCGGGAAGATCTCCAAGGTCCAAATTCAAGTGAGGCCCTACAAAATTACCTTTTCCCGAGATCTTATCTACTTCTTTAGCTTCCGACCGGCCAAGAATGCTAAACTGGCCCGGCTTCATGTCCCGGCATCATCTACTCCCAATTTAGAGAACAATCACTATCTTGGCCAACTAAGTCGGGTGTGCAGGTATGTACCCCAGGTGGGACGAAGGATAGACCTCGTCTATTGCTAACCGGTGGTATTTGATAGAATGCTCTACCTAAGAGAACCGGTGAATCCATTCTTTGACTCGCCTTATCCCCCAGTGCTCTCANCCCCCCCCCCTCTCTTACATTCAAGTCTCTCGCCCGACGCAGCGTGAAATCTCAACACCATCCTATCAGAAGACAAGGGTTAGAAATGGTAACAATTTGGAGGGGCCACCGGATGGGGAATGTCTCATCTACTCACCGGAACCCCAGTAGGCTCATAGCTATGCACAATCCCACTCTTGTACACGAGATTCGGGTCGCCCACAAGGTTCAGATCAAGCTGCTGCTCCCCTTCTTTCTTCAAGTACTGTTCCTTCCCTTCCCTCTTCAAGTACTGTTTCGCCGTCGTCTCCGGGAAGAAGCTCCCCATGTCGATGGCCTCGTCCCCGGCCTGGCGCTTCTCCTCCACGGAGCTCCGGACGTACTTGAGGTAGGGCGGGTTGCCCGGCTTGATCACGTTGTCGGCCGCCAGGACAGAGCCGGGGCCGACCATCTTGAGCTGCTCGCAGAGCTTGAGGTCCACGACGTAGGCCGGCTTGTAGTGGTCCAAGAAGAGCAGGTCGATATGCGGCAGCTTGCCCTCGGCGTTCAACCTCCGGAGAGAGTCTCCGCTGGCGCCGACAAAGACCTTGACGAGATCGCTCAGGCCGGCCAGGTCGACGAGGGAGGTGACCACGGCTGCAAACTCGGGATTGCGCTCAAGGCAGTAGTAGTGCTGGCCCCCGGCCTTTCGCACGGCATCGGCGAAGAGAATGGCTGAATATCCTACATAGCCGCCCAATTCAACCTTTGGGAGATGTGATCAGTCTGAGGAAATATTTAGACAGGGACATGACGGGCAATATGTAACGCACCATGACTTTGGGCTTGACTTCGGCAATCAAGTCGGTCACAATCTTGCCCTTGTCCTCGCCCACATTCATGAGATATTTCTTTGTGCGGCCGTACTCATCAATGGCTGCGAGCACCTGCTGCGGGGAGCCGCGGATCTCACTGAGGTTTGGCCGTGAGTAGACGAAGTGGAGGAGCTCTATCTCACGACCATCGTCGAAGAAAACATCTTCCTGGGGTGCGTATGCCCGCTGGGGGTCAAAGGGTGTAGCAGCCATAGTATTTCTCGAGATGATCGTACAGAGAAGAAACGAGCGGTACCAATCCAACAAGTAAATACAGGCTTCAGCCGTGATACCAAAGGATGAGAGAATTAGCAGTGCATAAATATGAGTGTGGTTCAACCACGTATTAGTAGTACGGGCACACCAGAAAGCGCAATGCATCCATGATCCATCCTCGCCGAGCCTATGATGCCTCTGTCCTATCAACAGCAGCCAGTCCCCAGCTGTAGATGGATGTGGTGTTCTCCGCCCATCTGCATCCATCTTCCCCCGCAATGCCTCTTCCACAATTGGCATCTGCCCCCGAAGCCGGTGCTCCTCCTCTCTGCATACTACATATGTACATAATGTAGCTTCGCCGAATCTCCGCTCGTCCCCATGACGCGCACACTGCCTAACCACGCCCGCAATCCACCACATCTGCTCACTCGCAGGCAGGCAGTACATAATGCTAGCAAAGGCTATCTACTTCAATCTCCTCCAGATACCCGCTTCTAAAATAAGCTGAGATCCAGGGACCCTTCCCTTCCGACCCGGGCGCGGGATCGGACCTTGACACGCACCTCAGATGCCACCATGTGATGCCTTGCACACACTACACCCTTCCCTTGGCTGATGCCCATCTCCACGTTCCAGTGCTTTAAGCTTCAGTCCCGCCAAGCATATCATGGGGAAATGCGGAAAGCCCTGGTCCTCGAATGGCAATCGCCAAATCATCATCCCAATCCTCGGTATGCCCAAACCCGCATTCCCGCTCATACATATATGACGCCTCGACACGACAGCTTGTGCACTTCCAGTCGACTGGCCCCGCGTAGCGTCGAGCATAAACACCTTCCCTCGACCTCTCACCGTGTCTCGATTCGCAGGCCATGTTTCATCGTCCCCTCATCGAATACACCATGACTTGTCATCTTGTGCCACACACCAATCATACACCGTCCCTCCCCCTGCAAGGCCCTGAATGCGGAATTCCGGACGCATTATGGGAAAGTGTGAGCATCATTACGCTCTTCATCGACTGGTCCGAGGGGAGGGAGGAAATATCATTGATTCCAAAGTGTGAATTGCGCCATTTCACCCGAGTTCCCTCCTCGCGTAGAGTCTACAACCCAACTGGGTGTGCCAGGGCGGCTTGGCCGTGTATAGTATACCGGGAAAGCTTCCAGTATCTCCTGTGGAAACTTCACGCTCTACTTTGAGAGTAGCCATGTGGGTAGGGTCGCGCGTAGCTTGGGAAACCTCACCGAAGCATGTCGGCCTAATCCTCCCACACTCGCAGGTCGAGACGAAGGACGGAGACGTGGAAAACCACGCACGGGTGGCCGCCCGCTGCTGTCCTTGGCTGAACGCATACTGCATTGCATAGAACGGCTGACCAAAGTCAGTCCCTTGTGCATTGAATGAATGACAGCATTGATATCGGTTCATTGGTGAGGTTGAAATCGTATAAAGAGTCTATGTTGTCCTGGTACAAACAATCCTTTTCTCTCCACGATCATTCAACATTCCATCTTCCAAGATTAAATTCTTTTTTCTAACTTTCAAAAACCCAGAGTGTGCCCTTTCTTTGGCCATTCAACCCAAATTTGTCTCTCGATTCTCACCTCTTGACCCGTCATCATGTCTGATATGAAGGCTACCGTCGAGCCCACCTCCAAGGGCTTCTCGGTCTGCGGGTACGAGAAGATCGAGTACGACTTCGAGTTCCTTGACGGAGTCTTGGATCCTGCGAAGCCGCAGCTGGCAGAGTGCTACCAGAGATGGAAGCGCTGCCTCGCCATCATGGACATGAACATGTTCGAGCTGTATGGCGACCAGATGCAGCGGTACTTTGACCACTACGGCATCGACCTCAAGGTCCACCAGACCAAGGTTGGTGAGAAGGCCAAGAACATGGACACCCTTCTTGGTATCGTCGACTCTATGAACGAGTTTGGCGTGTACCGCAAGGAGCCTGTGCTTGTCTTTGGCGGTGGCCTCGTCACCGATGTTGCTGGGTAAGTTTGACATATTCCACTAAGTTCTCTCTGCACACTACTCCATCAACATACCCGGATGTATAATGCCCGCTTGAAAATGCATGCATCTTCACTTGTACACTTCTGCGTACACAATGTAGTAAAACTAACACTGTCCAGGTTTGCGTGTGCGGCCTACCGCCGCAACACCAACTTCATCCGCATCCCCACCACCGTCATCGGCCTCATCGACGCCTCCGTCTCCATCAAGGTCGCCGTCAACTACGGCAACTACAAGAACCGTCTCGGAGCCTACCATGCCCCCATCCACACTTTCCTTGACTTCACCTTCCTCCGCACCCTCCCCGTCGCCCAGATCCGCAATGGCTTTGCCGAGCTCATCAAGATCTCCTCGTGCGCCGACAAGACCACCTTCGACCTCCTCGATGCCCACTGCGAGGACCTCATCGCCACCGGCTTCGGCCGCGCAGACGGCTCCCCGGACGACCTGAAGAAGGCCGCCGACCAGATCTGCCGCGCTGGCATCCACGAGATGCTCAAGCTCGAGACCCCCAACCTCCACGAGATCATGCTCGACCGCATCATCGCCTACGGCCACACGTAAGTCCTCCTTTTCCTCTCCCCCTAAGGCAAAATCCTTTATCCCTCCTTCATCCGCTAATGCTACCCTCTCTCTCAGCTGGTCCCCCCTCCACGAGCTCATCCCCGACCCTCCCCTCCGCCACGGCCACGCCATCTCAGTCGACATGGCCTACTCCGCCACCCTCGCCCACCTCCGCGGCCTCCTCTCCTCCCCGGACCACGCCCGCCTCCTGCGCCTCTTCTCCCGCGCGGGCCTCTCCATGGACCACGCCCAGTTCGACCCGGCCATCCTCGAGAAGGCCACCTCGGCCATCCTCAGGACCCGCGACGGCAAGCTCCGCGCCGCCGTCCCCGTCAGCCCCATGGGTGACTGCGTCTTCCTCAACGACGTCACCCACGAGGAGATGTGCAAGGCCCTCGAGGTCCACAAGGGCCTCATGGCCCAGTTCGCCAGGGCCGGCGCTGGCGTCGACGCCTACGTCGACGCCAGCGACACGGGCGAGGTCGCGGAGGTTCAGGAGGTCCAGGAGAAGGTGGGCAGTGCCGAGAACGGGCACTATACCACCTCCTCCTCCAGCAATGGCTATCAGCCGGCCCAGGGGGTGCCGGCGATGCACGCTGGCGGTGACCTCCCAAGGGTTGTCGACAATCTCAAGGGGAGTATGGATCAATCCGCTCGCGGTAACAATGTCGTTGCCGTGGCAGATGGTGGTTTGCAGTGAACTGTATGTAGTACAGTAATTCCACTTGGAAACTGCTTTCGAAACACGTAAACATGATGATAGGATCAAGACTGGAAACATAACATCAATAGCTTAAAAAAAAACTCATTGATCCTTGATCTCAAATGGTAAAAAACATCACCCTGATGACTGAAATTTTGCAATTCAGTGACGGGACGACTCCCAATAGTATGATAGATAGACTTCTTGTCTGACCATAACTTTAATTCGAAAGTCATACCTGTCACCACAATCTCGAGACAAAGAATGTACTGCACAGGCATTAAAGCCTCGTCCTTACACTACTATTACTATCGAGATTGCTCTCCATGTAGCAAATCAACGATGGAAGAAACATGTCCCATTCGCTTCTCTGATCTTGCAACGAAAATGAAAAGAAAAAAAACCTGCCCCATTGCCCCCAGATGAATATGAAAAACAAAAACTCCCCGTTTCCATGACCTGGGCATCAGAAAGACCATCCCAGCCACTCTGTTTTGGACCTTGTGCAGTAACAGGAGCCTAACTATCTCAGATAAAACCCATGAACCCCGTACCTTTGAATCCCATTCCCTCTTTTCCTACTTATTTTGATACTCAATTTTGTTTTTTAAGGTTCGCCCATGCCATGCCGAAATATGTTGGTTGGATGATAAGAGGCTCATGCTCACCGACCCTTGTCATGATCGCCAACCCCAGAAAAGCCCATGTCCTTTCGAAATTCCCGCACCAGACTTGGTCTCGTCAAATCATTATCGCACTTCCGTTTTTCCGCTGCTGATCGTAGAGGTTCAGAACTGCGTGTATGTGATGGTCGTCTCCATGGCCTGGCAGTTTCACCCTGTGTCGTAATGGTGTGACCGCCGTGCCAATCCCAACAAGCCGTCACAACAACAGCGTTCTGAATAAGAGTCTCTAGTAGTGAGACCGTGACCCATCGAAGATGCAACTCCTTCCCATATCAAACACCCGGATGACCAACAACAAAAGAGAGAAACAAGAAACAAACAACCATGATAAAGCAAAACAAAGAAACTCCCTTGCGAATGCCAGAAGCTCTTTCAGCAAAACTGTGTCCGCGCCCGGGCCAAAAGCCAATCCCAGATCCTTTGGTATATAGCGAAGTCTCCCCTCCTTTCCATATAATGTTTGGTAATGCCATACGTTATCGTCTGTTCTGAATCCCAAGACGAAACGCCGAAAGAGAAGTGTCCCCAACCGAATTCCCATCTTTGAACCACGCGGACCGCTCTTATGTATGTTGATCGACTATTCCAGCGCCCAAATTCACCATGCAGTATCTCAACTCCTTTCAATACAGACCCAAAACACGCTGCCTACTGCAGAGATGATTCTCATGTTCAGCAAATTAGCCCCAGACGCTAGCCTGGGTGCCCAAGCCGGAAGACTGGCCCCAAACGCCGCTGCCCCGGCCCCAGCCACCAGATCCAGAGGAGGCAAGAGGAGTTGTCGAGCGCTTTGATGAAGAAGTTCCGGATGGGGTACCGGATGGGCGAGTACCAATTGGAGCTACAGTGGCACCAGATTGGCCCGACTTGGAACCCCCAGGGGCAAGATCACGGGGTGGCGATCCGCCAGTGGGGCTGGAGGTGCTGGTGCGGCTTTGGAGGCCCACAGCGTTGTCAAAGACCTTGTTGGTAGGGCCCGCGGTCTGAGGGCTTGCCGTGCTCGATGGTCGAGGGCTCGGGTCGGCGGGGGCAGAAGCAGGATCAGCGACGGAGCCAGGAGTGCTAACCTCTCCGCTTGGGGGGGCACGGCTGGCAGAACCGAAGGTCAATGGAGAGGCGCCACGCAGGCTGGGAGGGCCGTTGGGTCCTGGAGCACCAGTACGAATGTTACCCGTCTCGTCAACGTAACTGTTCTTGTCGGCGAAAGG